GCTCTTAGTAGTTATCAGTTCTGAGAATGGTGGGAGCCCTACTAAAATCCAGGTTCCTAGCCAGGGCCAACATGGTCAGCAAGGCTTTCAAAGGATAGCAGTCAGGCTTGCTATGTTAGCTCTTTTCTACATGCAGATGTTAGCAAAGTTGGCATCTGAGCAGAGAGCAGACTGGCATGAGAATTAGGGACATGTAAAAGATGATCTGATTGCACAGACCAGAGAAAGTATTGTTTTCTTGCCAGGATTACTCAACAACACTAGAGTCAGGAAGTATCCAGGGAAATGGAATTCTGGTCAAATAAGTGGGAAACCTGGCCTATATGTTGCCCCCTGCCCCCACTTTCAGCACCCTTACTTGGGAAACACGGCTTGAGCCCATGGGTTGGGAATACTTGCCATTTCCCTGTGGAAGAGGAGCTGACCCCTGGTAGCCATTGCCTTGTGTAAACATTGTAGTCTGTTGTATCTAAGTTGGTAACACCAGCTGTGTGCAGTTCTTGCAGATGGCTAGCTCAGGCATTCTCAAAACTGATCTGTCATATAAGCCTCAGTCAAACCCTCTGGCAATGTGTAAATATGAATACACCCTAACCCTTCCACGGAGAATACTGCCTTCCACAGAGCATACTGGCTAGCAAGCCTTATCTTTGGCACGTGTTAATTAGCACAGACGATGTTAGGCTGTGTATTTACGAAGATAAAGTGTTAACTTGGCTGGGTGGAACATTTTGGGGTCACTTTTTTCCTATAAATCGAACCCAATTTATTTCGCTTTGTAACTGGGCTTTTTCTGCCTGCATGCCTGTAAAGATTTCCTTATTTTTTACTAGGGTGTGTATGTTATGAGTCTGTATTGATTTTATGTGTGGCACAATGAGCCCATTTGGAAGTTGTGTTATTATTTTTTTCTGTAATGTAGTGCTGTTGATAGCCAGATAAAGTGTGTAGATTGATTCAGCAGGCGAATTGTTGACCTCCAAATTTCTCACTTGGATCTTGTATTATTCTATGAACTTTGAGATTTTTCTTCTGTGCTATAGTTTTCCTTTAACTACAGTGATAAACTTGAGTTGCCGTTATTTGTATGCATTTTTTAAAAAGACTTTTTTTTTTTTAGATTTTTTGCTATAGGGTGCGTGTGCTCACCAGAGAGACAGTGAGAATTCACCCCCTGGAGGGATGTCCACAACACCATCCCTCTTCCTCCATTCTCCTCTCAGGATTTTGGGCATCCATGCACATGTGGCCAGCATGAGTTTTAAGCTACCAGGCCCAGGACTCGAATCATAGTCGACTATGTAGGAATCTAGCGACATAACCATTATGCCATCTGCTGGTCCCTAAAAAAACTTTGATGAGACTCAGATCAGTTCCCTTAATTCTGTTGGATTCCTTCCTTCCTCTTTTCCTTTTCTCTCTTCTTCCTTCCCTTTTTTTCTTCTCAGTCATTCAAATTCATGTAATTATTGAAGCCTGCTATGAGAAAAGAGTTTTTTACTTCTTGAAATGAGACATAAGGAAGAATGGCATGAATAGAACTCCTAAGGAAATTATGGTCTAAAAGGAAACATAAAAGATGGATATAAATAGCCATAATGAAGTAGAATGTTAACTAAGTACCCAAAACGAAACATACCTTATTCTAGAAGTTTAGCAACTAAATTGTGACATAAAGGCATTTCAGTGAGAAGGTATTATCAGTAGGTCACGTGAACGGAACGTACAGTTGATTCTCCCCAAGATGATAATAACTGTTGTATAGTGTAAAGAATATATAATTTGGGGGCTAGCAGGTGATGTGGTGGTTGGGGCCATGTGGAACATGGCCAACCACAGTTCGAGTCCTAGACCTGGTGGCTTGTTTTCTCACTTTCCCTCTCTGTTTCTCTCTGTTCAAATTTTAAAATAATAATAAATAGTATTAAATTAATAAATACATAAATAATTCTTTAAAAATATATGTAAAATTTGAAGAGGCTGGCCCCATAGCCTAGTGATTAAGGGAGCTGTGTCTCATGTGGCTAAATGTGGTTCGAATGGCCTGTGGTTCCTGGTCTCTGGCTTGAAAGACTTGCTAGATGCCTTTTGTACATGTTCAAAATCCTGACATGATAGAGAAGTAGAAGAGAAGGTATTGTGGTGTGACCATGTTCCACTTGGGGATGCTTCCTCCCTTTCTCTGTCTCTGGTGAACATACATGCCCTCTCGCAGCTGGGGAGGTGGGGATATAAACTTTGAAGTCAGTAGGACCTTGATTTTTATAATGGGTCTGGTTTTTACTTGGGGATATTAGGCAGGTATCTTTCTCTAAGCCTCAGGTTTCTTATATGAACAAAGAGATAAGAATATCTCTCCTGGGACCAGCAGATGGTGTTGTGGTTACATTATTGGATTCCCACATGGCCAGCCATGGTTCGAGTCCCACCAGACCCGGTATCTTAAAAATCACCGTGTGTGTGTGTGTGTGTGTGTGTGTGTGTGTGTGTGTGTATGCCCAAGATCCTGGGAGGAGAATGGAAGAGAAGGGATACAGCATGGCCATTCCCCCAGAGGAGTGATTTCTTTCTTTCTCTCCTGCGAGTGCTTACACCCTAAGGCAAAAACTTCTTAAAAATATATTTATCTTTCCTTATGGGTTACTGTGAAAAATAAATCTAATATTGTATACATTGGGCCATAAGAAAAGTCATGACGTGTTTTTCTGTGCAAAAATGCATCATGAGTTTTCTTTATATATTTTTTTGAGAGGTTTTCGCTATAGGGCGCATGCGCTCTCCAGCCAGACAGTGAGAGACATAGAGACAGAAAGCGAGAAATCACCCCCTAGGGGGGATGGTCACGCTGCAGTCCCTTCTCCTCCATTCTCCTCTTGGGATCTTGGGCATGCACGCACATGCGCCCGGCGTGAGTTTTAAGCCACCCGGTCTGGGACGCAAACCGCGGTCGACTACATGGGAGTCCAGCAACATAGCCATTATGCTAACTGCTGGTTCCTCATCATGAGTTTTCTGACGACCTGTTATGTTAGTGGTATGTGGCATGTAACCCATGGCACTGAAAGCTGTGGCGACTGCCACTGCTACTGTAACTGACAGTGATGATGGCTCTGGTGTTGACAGATACCTTCAGTTGCTGTCTGAATGAATGGAGAAGGCCCAGCTGATGATATAATGGGTGTTTATTTTGCTTTATCACATCTAGAGGGAGCATTTTAATGTTAATCTTAATACAGTCAGTTTATATACTGGGGAAACTAGGAGAAATGATCCAGTCTGCTCACATTCCATTGGCTGCTACGTCTCATATCTCTATGCAGTAAAACATAACCTGTGCTGTATTGTATGTAAGTGTGTGTGTGTCTATTATATATAAGTGTATTTGTATGTATCTCCCAGGTTTGAAAGATAAGTTGTTGATAAGATACTTTTTCATTTATAGGTCGACGGAAGCAGAAATGGGCCGTGGACCCAAGAAACACAGCATGGAGTAATGATGACTCCAAGTTTGGCCAGAGGATGCTGGAGAAGATGGGCTGGTCTAAAGGAAAGGTAATTTACAGAAAGGCAAAAGAGTAACATTAAAAATCTGGGCCATACAAAGAGATTACAGATAAGGAGAAGACATCCTTCTTTGGAGACTAGGATAAATGTATGTTTTAGATCAATAAGATCCAGTCTATTTTGGGCAAGTAGATTGTAGTGACCATAATAAAATTAGAATTGACCATAAATGTCAACTCCATTTGTCATTTCAATTTCTGTGATTAGTATTTTCTTATACAGTGACTTTTAATTAGTAACACATGGGCTCCTACTTAACCGTTGGAATTATATATTGCTAAGAATAACATTTTATTCCCCTCAATAGCTAGCTTGCATGTGTTTTCTCCTTTTTTCACATCCCATTTATTCCTGACTCCAGTAGGACGTCTGCTGATATTGCTGTACTTCTGTGGCTCATCTCAGGATCTTTAGTGATCTTGTTGCCAAATCCAGTGGGCCTGCTTTTGTCCCCACATTACCTAACCCCTTAGCGGCATCGGACACAATTGGCTACTCTCTCCTTGAAGTACTTCCGCAGTTCTCCCTTGTTGCCTATTTTTTCCTTCCACCTCACCAGCCACTCCTAAATTCCTTGCTGGATCTTCTTTCTCCTCCAGACTTTCAAGTGTTGGGGCTCCTTGGGGTTCAGCTCCTGATCTTTTTCTGTAGGCTCTTCAGGTGACCTCATTCATTCCCATGCTATGCATGAAATTCTCTAAAGTTTCAAAACTGCCCTTTTCAGTATCTGGTCACCTGAGTTCCACATTTGTAAGTTTATCAGTCAGCCTGACTTTTCCACTTGAATGGGCATCTCAAGAGTATCATTTTTACTTTAAAACTCTTAATCCCCTCACGTCTTTTCAACTCAAGTTTCTGCATTTTTCAAATGGTACCATCTTTCCACTTACTCCAGCCAGGAGACTGAGTGTCAGGCTCTACCTCATTCCTGGTCTACCTTCCCAGTCACTATTCTATATCCAGACCAGAGGCCCTGGTCCAACGACTGTCGGCGCTTGTCCTGATCCCCTCAATGGCCTCTCAGCTGCATCCCTTCCTCTGTTCTTTTCCTCTTTGAGTCCATTTTGCCTCCTATGACAGCCAGTTTTTGGTCTTTTAAACATGAAAATTAGTCATGTCATTCCCTTACTTAAAAGTCTAGTGCAGGCTGGCTCTTTGGCCTGGTGTTTAAGGTAGCTGAACCCCATGTGACTGACCATGCAGTTCAAATCCTGGCCCCTTGTGGCTTAAAAAACATGCTGGACGTGTGTGTGCATGTCCCAAATCCTGCCAGGGTAGAGAAATGGAGAAGGGATGCAGTGTGAACGTGCTCCATTGTGAGTTTGCTTTCTCCCTCTCTTCTCTCTCTCTCTCTCTCATGAGTATATGTGCCCTCTGTAAAATTTTAAAACCTCCAGTGGTTTCCATTGAATTTAAAATCCAATTAAAATTTCTACTGTAACTAGGTCCTATAAAGTCTAGCCCCTTTCTATCGTTTCATTTCCTCTTTATTCACTTTACTAAAGCCACCCTGGTGCCTGTGATGTTCTCCAGTATACCATGTTCTGTCCTACCTTTAGGAGGACAGGTCTTTGCACCTGGTCTTCCCTTTACCTACAGTACCTTACAAATGCACCTCAGTTGAGGCAGGGGCCCTGGAATCTCCCCTCCTTCCATGGCATTGTTTTATACAATTACTTATTGGAGAGAGCCAGAGACTCGTAACATCTCTGATGGGTTTCTGTTAGTTTTGTAGCAGTGCTCTGCTTCTGAGGTTCAGCAAGAGACATGTTTTACTTGGTGTGTATATGGGCCTTATGCGTAGTCTGAAAAATTGGCATTCATTATTATAAGCGGTATTACGAACATACTATGTGATGAAAATTCATTAGACTGTGTCTTTGAGGGCAGTAATAATTCCTCACTTTTAGATGGTTGATTGATAAAGGAAGAAAGAGGTATTCTCTTTATCTGATAGAAGTGCTAATTCTCTTTGTGTTTCATCTCCACAGGGTTTGGGGGCTCAGGAACAGGGAGCCATAGATCATATTAAAGTTCAAGTTAAAAATAACCACCTGGGACTTGGAGCAACGATCAATAATGAAGTGAGCAAGTGTGCCTACTGGGTGTTTTCTTTGCATGATTTATTTTATTTCTGTAAATATGAAACTTTTAACCCGGTCAAGTTGATTGATCAGCTTTTAGCTATTCAGGTGTGTATTATCCATGTTTTAGATAGATGAAGAGTCCCCAGCTAATTTGGCCATTCCTTCTGTACCAGGCTGTCACCTTCCCTTGTTGTCTTCATGAGATTCTTTACTGGCTTACACCTAAGAGATCCAGACTAGCTTATTGATAAACTTTTGTAAAAAAAAAATGTTTTTAGCAAAATATTTATTTCAAGACAGAAAGAAATTTTTATCTTTATCTGTATTCTACTAATATATTATTAAAAGTTGGTGACATTTAGATTTAGAATCCTGGAAGAAAGTGGCATTCTCTTCCTGTCCCATTATCTGTTTCTGTCTCGATACATAACACAATTGAATTTATTCCCATTTCCTCCTGAACATTGACACTTTGAAAGTATGAAACTGTAGTTAAAAATTTGTGACCTACCAGCTTTTCATTTTCAGTATCATTGTTACCGTTAGAAAATGTCTGAGCTAAACATTTTGTTCCTAAATTTTTTTAGAAAACAGAGTCTAATAAAAAAGTCTGGAGAATTACTTTCGTTAAACCAAATTACTTTGATTAGTTCAGTACTGAGTGGTGTTTTGGAGGAGCTAAAATGGTTTGGACTACTAGCTAAAATTTTCAGCCATTAAAAGACAAAGTGTATAAAGGTTGTTGTTTGAATGTAGTTGTTGATAGATAATAAGAAAATAAGATATACTTATTTAAGATATACTTATAAGATATACTTACTTTCTTAGGAGAAACATTGCACAGTAAATCTCTTCAATATGCATTAATCTTAGGCATTTTAAATAGATTATTGATTGATTGATTGATTGCTGTTGGTTGAGTGTGCTCACCAGAGAGAAAGTGAGAGAAACAGTGAGAAAGAGAGAGAGAGAGAGAGAGAATGAGAAATCACTTCATGGGAAATGACCATGCTGCAATCCTTTCTCCTCTAGTCTTCTCTCAGGATTTTGGGCACACATGCATAGGTGACCAGTGTGATCCTCAAGCTACTGGGTCTGGGATGCAAATCGTGCAGCTGGCTCTACGAGGTCCATGCTACCTGCTGGCTCAAGCTTGGGCATTCTTTTTTTTTTTTTTTTTTTTTGAGAGGTTTTTGCTATAGGGCGTGTGTGCTCACCAGAGAGACAGAGAGACAGAAAGCGAGAAATCACCCCCCAAGGGGGATGGCCACGCCACAATCCCTTCTCCTCCATTCTTCTCTCAGGATCTTGGGCACGCACGCACGCACACACGCCCAACGTGAGTTTAAGCCACCGGGTCTGGGACTCGAATCACAGTCGACTACGTGGGAGTCCAGTGACATAGCCATTACGCTAACTGCTGGTCCCAACCTTGGGCATTCTTAAAGACTGTGTTTAAGGCAAATTCCTACATTGAAACTCTGCTTCCCACTGGGTTTTCCCCACTAGAAATTTTTATTCCCTTGTAAAGCCAGAGTCTCTCTGTTAGGATGAACTTTTTAGCTAACCACCTTACAAATGAGTGCTCATTTATTCAGGGGACTTAGACTCTTTACTACCCATTTCTCTAGAGTTTTATGAAAGTGATATCGATGCAAGTAATTAGAATTGGACCAAGTATTTTAAGCTCTATTGACTATAGATGTCCCTTTTTGCTTTGTCCTTTAAACTATGTAATTTCTCCTAGTGAAAAAAAATAGTAATGTTATTTTGCTTTATTTTAATAGTTAGCAAACAGGTTGCCTTTGAGTATTGATTACAAGTAAACTATTGACAAATCATCCACATTGAAATCTGGGCATGAGTTGGTTGGGTTTTTTTTTTTTTTTTTTTTTGGTCAAACACATTTATTATTTACTTGTGATTTTCAAGCTGTCAGGTTGGGGACTTGAACTGCGTCAGCCATGTGGGAATCCAGTGCATCAACCACCATAACACCTGCTGGTCCCAAGGGCATAAGCTTTCAAGAAGCCCCTTTTTAATACTTAATGTGGATAGATCACAGTTTAAGTTTATATTATTTTTTGTATCATTTGAATTTATCTAATAGTATTTCAATGATACATTTAAGGTTCCTTATTAACTACCAAATTTCCTTGATTTCAAAATATACCTAATTTAGTGAGTATAGGTAAACTACAGGCTTGCCTCTCACTCATTTTTTGTCATTTTTAGGACAACTGGATTGCTCATCAAGATGATTTTAACCAGCTTCTGGCTGAACTGAACACTTGCCATGGGCAGGAAGCAGCAGGTAGGGAGATATTAACCTTGTTACTAGTAGATTGACAGAAGTCAAATATTTTTATCAGCTCTTCTCTGTAAGCATCACATAGCTGAGAGCCAGGTGGTTAAAGCTATTACAAATATTCATTTCTTTTTTTTAAATGCTGGAAGGTGTGTGTATATGTGAACATGAGAGTAAGAGAGAAAGCATCCCCACCCCACCCCCAACAAGGCCTGGTCAATGCTACCATTCTTTTTCTTGCAACCCTTTATCCTGTCTGGATCCCAAGCACATATTACATAACCAGTGTGTTTTTCAAGCTACTGGGGCTGGGTTTCAAACCTAGACCAGCCATGTGAGATCTGGCTGCTTTTGCTTTTGCACAGCACTTAACTGGTGTACTATGGGGTCAGCCCTCATGTTAATGGTTTTCATTAGATAAACCTTTAGTCATTGGCAAACTTTTTTTTCCTCCATTAAGAGTTTGAAATTGGCAAGATTCTTAATGCAGCCAGAGAAAATACAGTAATTATCTTCAAAGGAGCAACAGTTATAAATGGAAGCAGAGTTATTAATAGTAGGAGTAATATGTTGAAGGAAATAGAATTAACAACTGGAGTTCTGTATCTTGCAAAAATACCTTTTAAGAAAGTAAATGGGCCTACCCTGTGCCTAGTGATTAAGAGACCAGGATCCCATTTGGTCAACTACAAGGTTAGAATCCTGGCCCTGGTGGCTTGAAAAATATGCTGGGTGTATGTGTATGTACTTCCCAAATCCCAACAGGATGGAGAATTGGGGTAAAGGGATTGTGATGTGACCACGTCCCGTTGGGGGGCTGCTTTCTCTCCCCCCCCCTCTGGCCAGCACATTTGCAAATTAAAATAAAATGAAAAAAGAAAGAATACATTTGAGACAAAACAGTTTGCCACCAATATACCTTCAACAAAGAACATTTTGAAGGGTGTGCTTTAGAAGATCTGAGGTGTTAGAATTGAGGAGCAAAGAGAGTGGTAAATAAGCAGGTATATCCAGCAGAATGTTTACATTATAAAATAATGTTCTGTGGAGATTAAAAAATCAAGTCACAGTACACAAAAACAACTAAGCTGGGTGGGGTGTAAGTAAGAATAAAATGTTCTAAGTGTCTTGCATTGTCTGAGAGATGGCAAATATACGGGGCTTAAACTTTCATAAATTAATCATTAGATTAACAATAGTGTTTACGTTTCTAAATGGCAGAGGGGAAAAATGGGATGGAAAAAAGTAAAAAATATTACTTAGTACTGTAAGTCCCCTGGTACTGTGGACAGTGAATCTAGAGCCTAAGCAGCTTTAAGTCCAATTTACTTCACTCTGGAGTATTTCATAAAGACTCTGGGATTATATTTTTAATAGTTTCTGTCATTTCTGAGGTTTGTCTGTTTTTAATTTTGTCATTTTCTCTTCTATTGTGAGACTTGGAAGCCAGACCCAAGATAGATCTCACCTACCATGTTTTGCCTGCAAGGACTATAAAAGGCGGTGAATTCCACTCTTTCTGAGACTCTCCCAAATCATCAAAGATTTCTAATCTGCTAGAAATTGGCTTTCTTTACCACCTCAGTAATTTTTTTTTTCTTTTTTTTTGAGAGAGATTTTTGCTATAGGGTGTATGTGCTTGCCGGAGAGATGGAGAGAGACAGAGAGACAGAAAGTGAGAAATCACCCCTCAGTGGGTGAGGGGTGGCCATGCCACAGTCCCTTCTCCTTCATCCTCTTCTTGGGATTTTGGGTACACACACACACAGGTGCCCATCGTGAGTTTCTAACTGCCAGGTCCAGGACTTGAATTGCAGTTGACTATATGGGAGTCCAGGGACATAACCATTATGCTATCTGCTGGTCCTATCACCTCAGTATTTTTACTGTAATAAGGGAAGAAAAATAAAAGGTAGAAGGATTAGAAAAAAGAAAGTTTGGGGGACCACCAGATAGTGTAATGGTTAGATCACTGGACTCCCACATGGTTGACCCTGGTTCAAGTCCCAGATCTGGTGACTAGAAACTCTTGCCAGGCGCATGTGTGTGTGACCAAAATCCCGAGAGGAAAATGGAAGGGAAGGGATTGTGGTATGGCCATCCCCACTGGGAGGTGATTGCTCTTTCTGTCTTTCTTTCTTCCTCTGACTCTCCAACAAGTGCATGTGCCCTATGGCAAAAAATCTCTCTTAAGGGGAAAAAAAAAAAGAAGAAAGAAAATTTTCATTATTAATAGGATTGTGCATATTGACTAGAGATCATAGAGCTATTATTAGAGTTCCATATTTAGTAAAGTAGCTCAACATAAAGTCAATATATAATTCTTAGTTTTCTTTCTATATATCATTAAAAACAAAATTTACAAAGTGATCATTTACAATAGCATACAAAAATCAGATTTTTAAATATCTTCTAAAAGAGCTTTACAACCTCTACCAAGAAAAAAGTGTAGTACACTATTGAGAAAAATTAAAGAAGATCAGATATCAAGATTTATTATAAAACTACAATAGTAACTGAGATAAGTACAGTTTTGGTGTAAAGATGACAGTTTGACACCACAGCATGGAAAATAGATGTTCTTTTCAGTAAATGGTTTTGGGTTTGGTAATTCTCTTTATAGAGAGAAATAAAGCTTGATCTCTATCATTAACAAACACAATAAATTCCCAGTGGATTTATTAAGAATATGACAAGGATAACAATAAATCTTTTAGAAGAGTATCTTCATGTCTTTGGAATAGAAAAAGATTTCTTTTGGGGCCAGCAGATGGCATAGCAGTTTTGTCGTTGGACTCCCCACATGGCCGACTGAGGTTCAAATCCCAGACCTGATGGCTTGAAAATCACTCTAGGCACGTGTGCATGCATGTCTCAGATCTTGGGAGAATGGAGGCTAGTGACATGGCCATCCTCCCTGGGGAGTGATTTCTCACTTTCTCTCTCTGTCTGTCTCTCTCTGGTGAGTGCAAGCACCTCAAGGCAAAAACCTCTTTAAAAGAATAATTGCTTTCGGGGGAGGGAGAACATGCATGGTGCCTGTCATTTTTGTTTGTTCATTTGTTTTTTGCCATAGGGAGTGTGTGCTTGCTAATGAGAAACAGAGAGAGTAAGAAATCACCTCCCTAGAGGTGATGGCCATGCCACAGTCCCTTTGCCTCCATTCTCTTGGGATTTTGGATACACATGCACATGTGTACAGTGTGATTTTCAAGCTGCCAGGTCCAAGACTTGAACTGTAGTTGGCCATGTGGGAATCCAGCATATTAACCACCACGCTACCTGGCCCCACCTGTTGTGTTTCTAAGCTACCAGGCCTAGGACTTGAACTGCTTGGTTTGCTGCGTGGGACCCAGCTGCCTTAACCTCTGCCTCCTGCTGACCCTGAGAAAGATTTCTTAAGCTGGACATAAAGCATTAGTAACACTTCATTATAGGAAAAAACTGGTAACTTGGACTACATTAACATTAAGAACTTCTATTTTACAAGATATGCTATTAAATCCAAACCACTGAGAGAAGATATTTCCTATTCGCATCATCCACAAAGATAAAGAACTGCTGATGCATAAAAAGAGACCAAAAAATGGGAACCAGCAGTTAGCGTAATGGCTATGTCACTGGATTCCCATGTAGTCGACCGCGGTTCGTGTCCCAGACCCGGTGGCTTAAAACTCACGCCGGGCGCATGTGTGTGCGTGCCCAAGATCCCGAGAGGAGAATGGAGGAGAAGGGATTGCGGCGTGACCATTCCACCCTGGGGGGCGATTTCTCGCTTTCTGTCTCTATGTCTCTCTCTGTCTGTCTGGTGAGCGCACGCGCCCTGTAGTGAAAACCTCTCAAAAAAAAAAAAAAAAAAGAGAGACCGAAAAATGAACATGAGTCTTTAATAGGCAGATCATAAGTGAAGATATTCAAGTGGTCAGTAAACAATATAGGACACAACCACATTTGTCATCAGGAGGATGCAAAGGAAACCACAAGATGATAGCACTACATTCCCATTGGAATTAAGACTGGGAATGCCAAGTTCTGCTAAAGCGTGTAGTAGTGAACTTGCTAGAGGGCCAGCATGTGGTATGGTTACGGTGGCTGGATCCCACTGTGCAGTTAGGGTCTTGAACTCAGCAGCTTGAGAAACTCACTGCGTATGTGTGTGGGCACACCTAAAATCCTGAAAGGAGGAAGAAATGGGAGAGGGATTGTGGTATGAACAGCCCCATGGGTGGTGGTGCTTTCTCATTTTCTTCTCTCTTTGACAATCTACATGCATTCTGGCAAAAGCTTTTTAAACAAGGAAAAGAACTTGGTAGAACTATAGGTTAATATCATTTGGAAACAGTTTGAAATTATTTGCAAAAGTTGAAGGTAGGTGTAACCAACTAGCCTTTCTGCTCCTATACAGCAGGTATCTGTGGGTATGTGTTCTGGGAGACATGCAGGAACATGCGATGTTATTTGCATTATCCCCATATTGTTGTAAGCCAAACGGCCACCAAGAATGGATACGTAAACTGCTAGATAGTCTTTAGCAGATCACAGAGTCTGCAGAATGACTCACTGTGGCTAAGCAGGCAAATAGAGGTGGCTATATTCCCATTAAACGTTATGTACAAGAGCAGGCGGTGAGCAGGATTTGGCCCACAGGTGGATGTCTGTCCCCTTGTGTAGAAGACTCATTAAATTAATGTTGACTGAAAGAGATTGACACAAAGATGCATCCACTCATACGATTCCACTCATATAAACTACAAATAGCAGGTCAAACTCACACCTATGCTATCTGGTCAATTCAAAAGTTACCTGTTTTGGGTCTTATTATATCTTGATTAGTGTTTTCTAAATAGGAGGTGCCATTGTAGTAGTTTAGGAAACCCTGGTTCAAGACAGGTCTCTCTTGTCCTGTACTGATTGCCAAGGTCTAGCATGGTCACTAGAGTTGGCCTTTCCCAGCCTGTTCAGGAGCAGTCATGGTTTACCTCAAATGACCCAGAAGAGCTATAGGTTATTTTTCAGGAAGACCACAAATGCCTTACAGATTTAACAAGGTGGTGCCTTGGGCTCATTCATCTTGTTCACAGGTTAATAAGTGCAGGTGTATTCTTTTCCTGCCTAAGAAATAGAAGGAAGTGTTACAAATTGGAGAACTGCAGTTACTGATACGTAGTTGCATGTTTGGGCCAGTAGAGGGGGCTGGTAGACCTGTGACAGTGACCATGCCAGTAGCAGAAATGCTTTCATCTTCTGTAAATACAGTATCTTCATTCAAGTGAATTTTGATCACAGTTCTATGTTACTTATATTAAAGCTGAAAAGCAGATAACACAATAATCTAGTAATGGTTTTCTGCTGTAATAATAGTTTTAGTTCCTTAAGATACTTATTGAGACCAGCGGATGGTGTAGTGGTTGAGTTGCTGAAGTTGCTGAACTCCCACGTGGCTGACTGTGGTTTGAGTCCTGGACCCAGCAGCTTGAAACTCATGCTGGGTGCTTGTGTGTGCATGCCCAAAATCCCAAGAGGAGAATGGAGAAGAGATTGCGGCATGGCCATGCCCTCTTAGGAGGTAATTTGTCACTTCTCCCTTTGTCTCTCTCTCTCTCTGATGACTGTAGGTGCCCTATAGAAAAGACAAAAAAAAAAAAAAAAACATTGTTCACCAAGTTCTCATCATTTGCCTTTAAAAAAAAAAAAAAAAAAAGATTTGCTGTTGGGTGCATGAGCTTGCTAGAGAGCCAGAAAATGAGAAGTCACTCCCAGTGGGGATGGCCACACTGCAATTCCTTTTCCTCCACTCTCCTCTTGGGATTTTGGGCATGAATGCACTTGTGCCTGGTGTGTGTTTTAGGTTACCGGGTCCAGGACTTGAACCGGGATCGACTACATGGGAGTCCAGCGACATAACCATTACACCATCTGCAGGTCCCTCCTTTGCCTTTTAACTAAGCAGAGTTTCTGTACTGTCCTCTTCATAGAATCTTGCAAAGATTTCAGAAATTATCTTTATTTCTTTGTGGGACACAAAAGTCAGTATAGTTTTTAAAATTTTATTTGAAAAAGAATCCTTATTTAGTTATTCCCTATCAAACTCAACTTAGCTGTTATCTGTTCAAAAATATAGAAACAAGTGCTCTTTAATAGTCAGAAATGAGAGACTGCATAGGTGCTGTTCCCTCCAAAATAGTATTTCCATTTCATATACCAATAGTATTTTATGTTCATGTTTTTTTTGGAGAGGTTTTTGCTATAGGATGCATGCGCTCACCAGAAAGACAGAGAAACAGAAAGTGAGAAATCACCCCCCAGAAGGGATGGCCATGCCACAATCCCTTTTGCTCCATTCTCCTCATGGGATCTTGGGCACGTACACTCCCGCGCCCGCCATGAGTTTAAGTGGCCAGGTCCGGGACTCAAACTGTGGTCAAATACATGGTAGTCCAGCGACACAGCCATTACACCAACTGCTGGCCACTGTTCATATATTTTTATGCTTAACCTTTAAACAAAACAAAATGATCACCTATCTCTCTGCTGAAAAACAAAACTTTGGTTTACTTTTAGTAACTCCAGGGCCTTAAATGTAAGAAAAATTTCCTTTGGATTAAACTGTCATTCTAATTAACAGATTAGTTAGTAAAACCAGGAAATACAAATTTTGACAAATACTTGTTAAATAAAAAACCGAGTAAAACTTTTTGACAGTGCATCTTGCTTGCTTTTCTCTCTCCTTCGTGGAAGAGAGGGAGAGAGAGAGAGAGAGAGAGAGAGAAGAGAGAAAGGCAGGTAGAGACAGAGCTAAGTATTTCTGACAGGATCTTGCTGTGTTACTATCCTCCTGCTCCAGCCTCTAACTAGCCAGATTACAGACACACAACCATGCTTGGCATGTTCAGACTGGCCCAGGAACTGAACCTAGGCCTCCGGTCTCCCAAGAAGAGTGCCAGTGTGCCCCTGCTGTCATGCTGTCTCCAGATAGATTGTGGTGATGTTAGTGGGGCAGATTTGCATACGTAAATGACTCGTCTCTGACACCAGTATTTTGGCTTGTCCTTGTGGATCTGTGGTAAGAGGAGAGTTGTGCCTTCCTTTTGTGCAGTAGAATGAGGACACGTGATGAAGGAGAACCAGACTGATGCACCCTCTCAGACTCAGAGCAGTTTTGGGGAATAGTGCATGAGGACTGTCCCTAGATCTGCCGGTGCTCAGGCCTCCTTTGGGAAGTCTGTGTACCAAAAATATAGAGGGCCTTCCCGGGGAGTTCTCACATCTTGGCAAGCATGAGGGCAGCTGTGTTAGGGACATGGTGCGGTGATACAGAAAGTGAACTCTCAACCACACCTGCCTGGGTTTCAGTCTCAGCAAAGCCACCTCCTGGATGTGCCTGATCCAGCGTCCTGCTCTGAGAATACAGTAATCCTGGCAGCTGCCTCACGGGGTGGTTCTAAGGTTGAAATTCAAGAATGCATAGAAGCTTAGTCCAGTGCCTATGATTTCGTGAGCCTTCAGTTGCTAGTGGCTACTGAAAGTTGGTAACTTCCGAGATGGTTTGTGTTTGGTGCATCAGTTGAAAATGTCATATGCAAGAACTACCAAAGGAGGAGAAAAATGTGCTGGTGGGATGTCTGAAAACACACAAACAAAAACTCAGGGTGTTCTGGGAAGTGGCTGGAGAAGGGAATGTATCCGCTTGTTGAGATAACGAGCCAGTGCTGGGCAGCATGAAAGGTGGGCACATCTGTCCTCACATTGTTCTAATGCATGTTTTGCTTTTGAACTTGGCTGATTGCACGAAGGGATCGCAGTTAACTAGCATGCTACTCCGTGAACATGTGCTTGTTTTGCTATAGTATGAAGACAAAAGTTTCCCTTTTCCATTATCTCTAACCCCATAGCTAAATTTCCTTAAGACTGTAGGAAAATATAGTTTCTTCCACCTTTGAAGTTCTGTTTCTGTGGGATTCTTCTATCTGAGCTTGACTGGTAGAGAAATAGAAAGGTGAGGGAATACAGGCAGCTAGGTCATGTCTGACTGTTGACTCTAACCTTAGTTCAACTTCCTCTGCTATTTCAGTTAAGGGAGTACTCTCGGGCTCAGTTCCCTCTTTTTGTCAAAGGACTAGCCACATAAATTCATTCCTCAATAATCTGTTTTTGTTGTTCTCTCTCTCTCTCTCTTTTTTTTAGGTTTTGCCATATGGAAGGTGCATGTGCTTGCCAGAGACAGAGAGAAGAAAGTGAGAAATCACCTCCCAGGAGGGATGGCCATACCACGGTCCTTTCTTCTCCAGTCTCCTCTTGGAATTTTGGGCACATATGTGCACATACCTGGAGTGATTTTCAGTCCACTGGGCCTGGGACTTGTCGGACATGTGGGAGTCTGGCACCCTAATCACCATGTTGCCCCCTGGCCCTGGTTATCCTTTGTTTTTGAAGGTGGAGCTCCAGGGAAAGCTGGTATTTGAAGCAGTGTGGGTCAGGCCTGCCCTACTCCTTCACCCTTCACCTGATCATGTCGTCTGATCTATTTTTTGATGATTATTTAACCTATCTTATATTTGATTTTTAACAGAAATAATTGGAAATAGTTATTGACTATAGGGAATTGCAGAAACAGTATGGGGTCCTGAGTAATCTTACCTAGCTTCCACCAGGGATGACATCTTATATTGTTGCAGAGTGTCAAAACTAAGAAATTGATACTTAGTGTTACTGTTAACTAAACCATGGACCTTATTCTGTTAACTAAACCATGGACCTTATTCGTTTTTTAGCCTTCGTTTTTGGGTGCATGGTTGTTTGGTACTGTACAGTTCTATAACAGGTATAGATTCGTGTCGCTATAGCTGAGGTACAGAATTGTTCATCACCAGGAAGAGCTGCCTCCTGCTTCATTGTATTCACACTCACCTCCACCCCTCCCACTCCTGACACCCTGCTTTCATTCCCTTTCTCTGGAAACCATTCATCTCTTCTCCATCTCTACAGTTTTGTCATTTTGAGAATGCTATGTCAATGTGATCATTTGTATGTACCCTTTTATAGACTGACCACTTTCACTAAGTAAAATACCCTTGAGGGTCACGCGGGGTGTTGTATGTGTGGGTGACCCGTTCCTCTATGTTGTGGCACGGTATTCCAGTGTGAGTGCACATGAGGCATTGCTCATCCCGTGGCTTACCCACCCAGTGAAGGACTTCAGGACTTTGCTGTTATCAGTCAGGCTACGGGAACACTCAAGTAAAGGTCTTTGTGTGACTTCGGATTTTTATTTGTCTTCCTTAGGGATCTTACGCATTTCTAGAGGCTATAGTTTTGTCTTATTCATAGTGCACAGTTTAGGAAAAGTATTTCTAATTGTTTGATTAGAATTCAGTAATAAATGATGGAGTCCCTAAACATTTTTAAATGAGACCATTCACTGTAAGAGGACAAATAAGAATAGATCACATAGTTTAATGTATTTTTAATTTTTTTTTTCAAGACTCCTCAGACAACAAGGAAAAGAAATCTTTCAGCCTTGAGGAAAAATCCAAAATCTCCAAAAACCGTGTTCATTATATGAAATTCACAAAAGGTAAGAATAAGCATGTATTTATTTGCTGTTGAAATCTGAACTTTCACACTGAGTTTCTTGAAGCATTTTTAGCTCTTGACTGGCAATGACTTACTGTATCATGTATTGGAGGTGTGAGCAGCCTGAGCAGATTGACCTGAAGCAGTGCCGAGGTCTCAACAGTTATTAGGAACCGCCTGGATCTTGTTCAAGTGCAAATTCAGATTTAGTTGCTTTGTAGGTTTTAGACTATGTTCAAGTCCTATGGCTCAGTTAGAGATTGAAATCAGCTTACGATTTAGAGGAGGAAGGAACTTTCTATGGCTAGGTCAGAAAATAATTTTAATTTATTGCTCAATATTTGGCTACATATTTCTCTTTTTCAGAGCTGAATGTTAGGGGACCGGCAGTTAGCATAATGGCTATTTCGCTGGACTCCCATGTAGTCGACCGTGGTTCGAGTCCTGGACCCGGTGGCTTAAACTCACGCCGGGCGCGTGTGCGTGCATGCCCAAGATCCTGAGAGGAGAATGGAGGAGAAGGGATTGCGGCTTGGCCATCCCTCCTGGGGGGTGATTTCTTGCTTTCTGTCTCTCTGTCTCTTTGTGTCTGGCGAGCGCACGCGCCCTATAGCAAATACCTCTTCAACAATAAATAAATAAATAAATAAAATTTTTAAAAAAAGAGCTGAATGTTAGTATTAAATTAACTCTTAAATTATGCTCTGTTGAGATCTCTAGTGAGATACATCATTTTTCCAAGTTCACCCTTGTATTATTTCATACGATCTGTCCATTTCATGGAGTGTTAGCATAGACATTTTATGGTCATTGCTAAGACAGTGCTAGAAAATGAGCGTGAGAACTATTTTTCCCCTTCCCACCTCCTCACAGCCCTCCCCAGGGTTGGTCATTTGTGAGTGCAGGTGCCCTCACTTTGTAACCACTAGGTGGCAGTCTTGTATTGGAAACAATTTAAGCTGAACTAATCGACTCCCCAGATGTTTCCCCATCGAACCGTACCATGCAGTAAATGCACTTTCTAGCATGTTTATTAATCACATAGTGAAGGCATGACAAGTATGACGACGATTACCTAGTCACCAGCTGATGGTTTGTCGCTGGAAATTGGATGTATGTTTCGACCTTGCTATGCCAGGAAGGTCCTGAGAGTACTCATCTCTTACAGCCTGCCCGAATAGCAGTGGGAGCTTGAATTCCCAAATAGTAATGGAATTTCGTGTTTGGGGCCAGGATCCCAATAGCTAGAATTGGGTTGGTTTAGGTGAGAGGCAAACCGGATTTGGGAGCTGACTCCAGCTGAGCAAGGAGATTGAACAAGGAGAGGCTGGGGCTTCCCCTTCTGCTCCTGAGCGTGACGACCTGTTCCGTGTCATCCCTTTCTTCTTTCTCCCAGGCAGGAACTTCCTTTGTTGCTAGCTATAAGAGGGAACATCAGGAAGTTCATGGAAAAATGGAATTATTTATCTAGGCACAAAATTTTTGAAATTCATGCATACTTTTTTTTCATAATATGTTTTTTGAAGACCTCTTATGTAGCTCTTGACCAGGATTTCTCCCTTCCCATCTTGTTGCAAACAGTAAACAGTATTTGCGGGCCACCAGTCCTTTTGAGGAGAGGATAAATGGTCACTTTATACCCAGTTCCTTAAATATCTTTTTTTTTTTTTTTTTGGTGAGATAACTATAGAAAAAAATTTACAGTTCTGTTATAGAGCAAATTAAAGGAACTGAAAGAGGCCTATGGGGCCAGTAGGTGATGTCATGGTTTTGACTCTGGACTTCCACATTGTCAGTCATGGTCAAGTCCCAGACCTGGCGGCTTGAAAATCATGTGGGCTCATGTGCGTGAATGCCCAAAATCCTGAGAGGAGAATGGAGGAGAAGGGATTGCAGTGTAGCTACCCCCTAGGGGCGATCTCTCTTTTTGTCTCTCTGGTGAGTGCACACATGCCCTGTGGCAAAAATCTTAAAAAAAAAAAAAAAGGTCTGTTACTTTTGGATAGTAAGATAGTCTTTGAAGCTTTCACCCTTTTTTAAGAATTATTTTATTTTATATTTTAACTTTTTATTTATTATTATCATTATTATTTTCCAATTTGACGAGAGAGAGAGAGAAGGAAAGTGAGAAAGCAAGCCACCAGGACTGGGACTTGAACCATTGTCAGTCATGTGGGAATCCAGTGCTTTTAACCACCATGCCACCTGCCGGCCCCAAAGCTTTCACTTTTCAAAGTGGAATTTTCTAATTTTCCTTTAGTACCTGCTATAGGCATGGTTTCTTCTTAAGTACTTGCTGAAGCTGGACTAAACCTTTTTAATCTAATGGATGCCAGGAGAATCTGCTTTCTATTTCTAGTCAAGCCACACCTTGGCTAGGTGACCCTGTCAGACTGCTTAATGTGTCAGGCCTTTATTGTCAGTATTAAAATGAGGTGTGTGTATTTGGTGGCCTTGCTTCTGGAGCAAGAGGCAGGGGTGTGCAGGAAAGAAAGGGTTCAAGTTCACTGTTGAAAGAGTAGGAGTGGAGACTGAGTGGAGAAATAGACGATCTGCAATCTGGGGTTTGTAGGAGAAACGATGAGAGAAGGATGCAGATATCCAGGTTCTTAAGAGATAACTACTGACGGGACCAGCAGTTAGCGTAATGGCTATGTCGCTGGACTCCCATGTAGTTGACTGTGGTTTGAATCTCGGACCCAGCGGCTAAAACTCACGCCGGGTGCATGTGTGTGCGTGCCCAGGATCCTGAGAGGAGAATGGAGGAGAAGAGATTGTGGTGTGGCCATCCCCCCGGGCGGTGAGTTCTCTCTTTCTGTCTCTCTGTCTCTCTCTGTCTTTCTGGTGAGTCCCAAGACACACCCCCCCCCCCCCCCCCCCCCCCCAAAAAAAAAAAAGAAGAAGTAACTACTACTGAGCCAGTAAGGTGGCAGGTGTGGCAGTAAAGGAGGCTGGATCCCACATGGCCCACTATACAGTTTGAGTCCCAGACCTGTGAGCTTGAAAAACCTACCCGGCACACGTGCACGCATGCCCAAAATCCTGAGAAAAGAATGAAGGAAATGGAGAAGGGAGGTGTGACCACCTTCCCAGGGAGTGCTTTCTCACTTTCCCTCTCTCGATCTCGCTCTCCCTCTCCTTTTCTCTCTCTCCCTCCTTCCCTCTCTTTCTCTCAACTCACCTATAGGAATAAAGAAGAAAAGGGAAGAAAGAAAAGAGGAAAGAAAGAAGGAAGGAAGGGTTATTTTCCATCCACCTTACCTTGTTTTAAAGTTCTTTCAATTTACTAAAACAAATTTTCTTTTAGAGCAAGTGTTGTCATCACTGGGTAAGAATGATAAACTCTGAAGTTTTCTCTAAGGTAGATTGTCTCGGACCACAAGAAATCTGGGTTTTGGCAATCACCCTCTGGGCTAATTCACCTAGCCCCTTTCCTTCTTTCAGACTCAGTTTCCTCTTTGCAAAATGAGGAAACATTTGCAAGTCACTATTAAGTTCTAAAATAAGTTCTGTTTCGTGATTTATCAGAAGTGATTTATTTTATGCAACTTATTTTTTCAGCATTGTCGATAGGAAGAATTTTAGCTGGCGGTGTTCTCATAGTGAAAGTCGCTGATTCACTTGGTTATGAGGATGATTCATGTTATAACAAACTAAAACACAAGAAGATGGCGTTTCCTATAGTTTGGTAAGGAGTGAAGATAAAAATTTTACTTTAGTAAGATTATAGTAGCAATAGCTTTGTACGACTGGCGCCTAAGTATTGCTTTCATCGTTTTAGTTCTGATACATAGTTATTCTTTTTTCTAGCCCCAAATTTATAATTTTAATTTGAAGTAGTTTATTTTATAATTTTACATTAATTTACATATTTACAAATTTACATATTTGTTTAAAAGCTTGATTCCTACATGGTTTCTTGGAAAAATATTTAATGAGGCCCCATCAGCAGAGAAGAAAATATCAATGATTTATTTACATTCAATCATTGTACGTCTTTACCATGTGCAAAATGAATTTTCCCAGCATGAATACATAGTGTACATAGTATACTAGTCCAGTCAAAGATAATACCATATACATTACCATCACCAGATAATTTTCCATTTTTGTGTTCATTAAATGACTTTGCTTCTTTTCCCCCCCATATCAATTTATGCAAAGTTGTTTTGAAGTTTGTTTTCTATACACTGAAAAGTTATCAAGAGAACATTGCTTTTTATTCTCTAAGTTTATACAGCGGGTGGGCGAAAAGTTGCACATACTATACTAATTTTCACAGACTTCTTACTCCTGTGACAACCCATGGTATAAACAAGGAAACTGCATTCACAACACGTGCCCGAGGTAACTGGCTTGCCGGTCTGGAAGTACGGACTTAAAGACTGCACAGCACGGGCTGGCTCATCCCCGCGTTGGACTCTGGTAGTGAGGGACGTTAGGTTTCCTCTCTGAGTCTTTTGACATTTACATACAAAGCAGCACCATTGCAGGCTTTTTACAACTTCATATGCCTTATTATTGGTTATTAGGGTCTCACTGATTTTACTCCATTCTGATTCTTCCAGATTTTTCAGTTTGTAGTATTGACTGTTTAACAATTTTTATTTACTCCATGAGCATGCGAGACAGTGAGAAAGGACAGAGGACCTGCTACAGAGCCCACCCCTAGCTCCAGCCAGCCTCAGATCTGGGCACTTGTGTGCCTCGTGTACTGAGGGAGGGCTCTGAACTCAAACTGGGAACCTGCCCACGTGGGCCAAGCTTCTCAGAGTGGCTTGTTGTCCCACTGCGCCACCATCTAGTGTACTCTTTTAGTGAATTTGCCTTTATCATCTGTTCTAGGCTTATTGTTTCATCAGTCCCATGTATTTACATTTAAAAAACTCAAAGTATGAAACTTTTATTTATCCTTCTTAAATGATGAATGCAAATGAACTTTCTAAACAATCAAGCTATATATACGTAAACCTTAAGTATTTTTGATTTTAACAAAATTTATTTCTAAAACCTGCATTTCCTGTCCCTTGCCCCTTTATTTTGAGTAGGTAAACTACTTTTCCATAATTTTTCTTTGAGCCTCAATTATAATAACAGTGCTGTGATACAGATTTCTCTTTGGAGAAGAAAGTTGTTGGGTCATTGAACTAAGAGGCTGCAGATCATCATGAATTTTTTTTTTTTTTGAGAGTTTTTTTTTGCTATAGGCTGCATGTGCTCACCAGAGAGACAGACAGACAGAAATCAAGAAATCACCCCCCCCCCCGGGGGGATGGCCATGCCACAATCCTTTCTCCTCTATTCTTCCCTCAGGATTTTGAGCACACACGAACATGTACCTAGCATGAGTTTTAGGCCACTGGATCTGGGATTCAAACCACGGTTGACAACATGGGAGCCCAAACCATTACTTTACCTGTTGATCTCTCATCATGATTCTTTTTTTTGTAGGTTTTTTTCACTGTAGGGCGTGTGCGCTCGCCAGACAGACAGAGAGAGACAGAGAGACAGAAAGCGAGAAATCACCCCCCCAGGCGGGATGGCCATGCCGCAATCCCTTCTCCATTCTCCTCTCGGGATCTTGGGCACGCACGCACACGCGCTCGGCATCATCACGATTCTTAAAATCATGTGTTTGTCTTTTCTGTCTTCATTCTTCTCCTCTGGACTCTTGGTATTGTAACTGTGTCCACCTATATCAGACCATTCCTTTCTTTGGATTTGCCACTCTGATAGACTGCAGAACCTCATATCATGATGATTACACAAACAGCTTAAATGATCCTAAGGAAAACACTCTCTGTAAGTATCTGCTCATTCTTGTAGGGACTTTATTTGATCAGTTTGACCTTTCTTCCTGGTTCTCCAAATGTTATGGCCAATTGAAGACTAATTGATATGAAGGAACTTTGAAAAGTTCGAGGGAAGATGGAATTAAAGCATGAGTATATTTTGGTGTAAAAAACATTTAGAAATTTTTTTTTAGGTTTTTGCCATAGGGCAGGTACTCTCACCAGAAAGAGACAGTGAGAGGGAAAGTGAGAAATCACCCCGCCCCCCCAGTGGGAATGACCACCCCACATTTTCTTCTTCATTCTCCTATGATTTTGGGCATGCATGCACCAGAGTGATTTTCAACAGCCAAGTATAGGACTTGAACCAATGTGGGAGTCGAGTGCCTTAATTTCTATGCTACCTGCCGGCCCCAGTGTAAAAAATTTTTTAAATCTATGTAGGTTTTTTCATACTATGTATTTTCTATGGACTTTTGGAACTTCCTCATAGAAGAATTAAATCCAGAGATAAAATGTGTATTTTCTTTTCTTTTCGTTAGTTTTTTTGTTTGTTTTTGTTTTTGTTATTTTTTTTTGCTATAGGGTACATGCCCTCATCAGAGAGACAGAGAAAGGCAGAGGGATGGGAAGCGAGAGATCACTCCCCCTTGGGGGGATGGGCATACATGCACATGCATCCAGTGTGAGTTTTAAACTGCCAGGTCCAGAACTCAAACCACAGTCGACCATATGGGAGTTCAGCACCTTAACCACTATACCACCTGCTAGCCCCTCATTAGTCTATTTATTGTTGTCATCTCCCTACAATCTAAGTTTGTCCACAGTATTTGCTGTGATTTAATCATAATTCAGAACTGAGGCTAATTAGAACTCATTTTTAATATGTATGTTTTACTCCAAATAGACGTAATTTTATAATATTTATAAATCATTTAGCCAGGACCATCATTAACTTTTTTTTTTTTTTTGAGAGGTTTTGGCTATAGGGCGTATGTGCTTGCCAGACAGACAGAGAGAGTCAGAGAGACAGAAAGCGAGAAATCACCCCCCAGGGGTGATGGCCACACCGCAATCCCTTCTCCATTCTCCTCCTGGGATCTTGGGCATGCACGCACACACACACACACCCCCGGCATGAGTCATAAGCCACTGGGTCCGGGACGCGAACCGCGGTTGACTACATGGGAGTCCAGTGACATAGCCATTACACTAACTACTGGTTAGTTAACTTTCAAAATTGCTTCCATCTTGGGAACCAGCAGTTAGAGTAATGGCTATGTCGCTGGACTCCCACGTAGTCGACCGCGGTTCGCGTCCTAGACCCGGTGGCTTAAAACTCACACTGGGTGCGTGTGCATGCGTGCCCAAGATCCCGAGAGGAGAATGGAGGGGAAGGGATTGCAGCGTGACCATCCCCCCTGGGGGGTGATTTCTCGCTTTCTTTCTCTATGTCTCTCTCTGTCTGTCCGACGAGTGCATGCGCCCTATAGCGAAAAAGCCTCTCAAAAAAAAAATTGCTTCCATCTTCACATTTTCGTTTACCTTTAAGTTCCTTTCCATTGGTCTCTGACTCTTATTTCTTCTCTGTGTTCTTGTTTTTCAGATCAAGTCCAGAGCAAGGCCTGTAACAGTCCTGCTTTCTACATTTACTTAAGTGATCTTTGCTAAAGGATAACATTTCTGAAACAAGAACCCATCACCAAAACTTTAGAAACATTTGCACCTTCCTTGGTACAGCTTACTGTCTCTACCAGCTGGATAGTTTGCCCTTTGATATTTAGTTTTTTTGTTTGTTTGTTTGGTTTGTTTTTTGTTTTTTGAGATACCTTTGTTATAGAGCACTTGCACTTGCCAGAGAGACAGAAAGGGAGAAATCACCCCACAGGGGGAATGGTCACACCTCGATCTCTTCTCCATTCTCCTCTTGGGATTTTGGGCATACACACACATGCAGTGTGTTTGAAGCCACTGGATCTGGGGCTCGAACTGTGGTCAACTACATGAGAGTCCAGCAACGTAACCACTATGCCATCTCCCATTCCCCTTTAGATTTGTTTTTAACCTCTGTTTATGTTCTGACATCCTTCATCTCTCCAGCATTCCTTGTTGAGTTGCTGTAAAAGAGATCTTAATTTGCACTTTTTATATCTCTTCCATTGCAGAGGATAGGCTAGGGAGAGTTGGCCAACACAAGCTCTGAACTAAACTAAATACTCCTCTCTTGTCTGAACTCAAACTGCCACCCTGAGTGTGCTGTGCATGGACAGTGGGTCATGCTGATGACAGAGTTGAGCACAGGCTTCCATACCTCTGCCATGATCAGCAGTTTTCTTTCCTACTTTGCTCATTCATTTTCTGGCCTCTTTGCTTCATTCTGTTCTAAAGTAGGTTTTCATTTGAGTCTTTTTGTGTAGATTCTATCTAATAATAAAGAGAACCAGGAAGGCTTAGTTTCTAGCTTGGGTAGAAAGGCGAGAACAGAGTACAAGCCACAGACGCGCCTGCCCCTCTGACAGGAACCGGTCACACTGACTAGTCCATGTAATCTGGTGCTGCCACCTTGAAACTGGTTTTGGCACCTGCCTTAAATTGAAGGGTGGTTTGTTTTTCAATTTCATGGAGCAACTGAGCAATATCATATTCGAATGCCCCAGTGATAGTCAGTGAACTAGAACCTTCTGGGTCATGACATTACTCTACCAAATCAGTTTGCTACAGGAAGCTAAGAAGACGAGTGAAACTACGACAGTGGAATTTGGGCTTTTCATTCAAAACATGAATTCCTGTGTCTGATCCAGAACCTCCCTCCCCAAGAGCCTCACATCTTTACATGGAGTAGTTAGATTTTAAAGTGGATCGACCATGAAGCTGACAAATGGGAATAGATTTGGCTGAATGCTCATAGCCTATCATTGGGTAGGAGTGGAAATTCCAGTGAAGTGAATTTTCAAGGTAGTTGTTTGTGGGTTTGAAATTAAGTTGAAGAGTTTAGTTTCTTAAGTAAGCAGCATAAATCCTTTGGACACCGTTTTGCCTGAGCTATTTAATTTCCTGTTCTCATTAGACAGCCTTTTATTGAAAGATGATATAGCTGTAACAATAAAGAACACTTTTAAAAAGTCAAATCATTTTCATTTACATTTACTCTTTTTAAATTTCCACCCACTCAGTGGGTAATTCCTGAGCCCCTGTGTGTCAGATATGGTATGTTGTCATTCATGTGCATGTGTGAATTGGAAGTTTTGTGTCTTGCATTTCATAATCCTAAGTAAGTCACTCATGTCTCTTTGAAATGAATGAAATCTGTTTTATAAATGGAGAACCCAGAGCCAGAAATTGCATCTGGAAGGTGCACTAGCAGTAGGGCTGACTTCAGAATCTTTTCTTTCAGTCTGTACTCTAAGTTGTTCCTACAGTTAAGGGGAGGATGTTAAGGGTTCTGGTTCTAAAACAGTCACTTGATTTTTAAATTTAACTGACTTTATTTATTAACAAATTTTATTTATAAAGAGCTATAATCAGTGAAGAGGGGAACAGAGAGTTACAAAACCATTCATTTCTTTTCCAAAAGCCATTTTCCTTTCAGGACTTACATAATTTATTGTATATTTGTGTTCCTTATCTTAGAAAGACTGGTTTCACTGAGAGGCATCCGTTGTTTTTCTAGGGAAGGATCTATCATCTCGGAGCAAAACAGATCTTGATTGCATTTTTGGGAAAAGACAGAGTAAGAAGACTTCCAAGGTATTAAGCCACGTACAGCTGATAGGTTCTAACGCTGCTTGATTTTTAACTGTGTATAAGACTACTTTATTACTAACAGTGCTTTCCAGACAGAGTTACCAGAAAAAAAACAAGACTGCTTTTAAAGGCTTCATACAAAGGCTACATGCAGTTTCTTTTAATAATAAGAGCTGGTAGATAATAAGTTTTATAAGGAATTTAAAAAGGTTATATGTTATCTTTTCCCCCACGCCCCCTATGTGAGGCATAAATTAAATTTGGGGAAGAATACTTACTGCTGGTATATACATGGGGGAAAATACTTCTCTCGTCGCCAAGAGCGTGGGAAGTCGCTTGCAGGGATTGTGTGTGTGTGGCTTAGACTCGTTCTACTTGGAATGTAGCGAGGAGGAGGAGCATCACATGCGTCCTCAAGTACCAGCCTACTCCACTTTAAAAGCTTTCTGAGGGAACCAGCAGTTAGCGTAATGGCTATGTCGCTGGATTCCCACGTAGTCGACTGCGGTTCGCGTCCCGGACCCGGTGGCTTAAAACTCACGCCGGGCGCGTGTGTGTGCATGCCCAAGATCCCGAGAGGAGAATGGAGGAGAAGGGATTGCGGCATGACCATCCCCCCTGGGGGGTGATTTCTCGCTTTCTGTCTCTCTATCTCTCTCTGTCTGGCGAGCGCACGTGCCCTATAGCAAAAAACTCTCCCCCCCCCCAAAAAAAAGCTTTCTGAGACGGTGCTAGATCGGCACCATCTGGTAGGGATTTAGATGGAGTATTTCAGTAACTCCGTCGTGCACTATTGTTTGTTTTGCAACTAGAAGGTAAGAATGGAGTGATTAAACTACACCCTGAATGGGATGAACCAATAGTTCATAATCCTAATAATTAAATTGGAGGTATATTATTACATAGAATTTTTGTGCCATTTCCAAGTGTAGGAGACAGCCCTGGATGTAATTTGGATGTCAAAATATTAGAAATTTTGAAATAGGGATTTTTGGAGATAATGGGTAAACTAAGATTGGTATTGTCTAAGAGAATCTGGGATATATAGCTGCTACAGCTGTTACTCAGCTAATCTGGTATGCCGTACTTATATTCCTTTATTGGTTCCTAGCCAAGGTTCTTGGTGCCTGTAAAACAAAATAAGACATATTTTATTTATGGCATTTTCCCGCACTGACGGAAATCTGTTTTTCCAAGGTGATAGTTACTTGGTGGTATTTTTAGAGCCTCCAGAATTACCAGTGATGAGAAGTTTTTGTATGACAATTTCCTCTGTAGGTCGGGACTAAATTCCTAGGTCTTTTGCACTTTTCTGCCTCTGCATCTTAGCCGAGTGAGGATGGAGGAATGGAGAAAGGAAAGGAGACCTGGCTCCCAGGTTTGCGGAAGGGTGGTACCGGACAGTCCGTGATGAGTCACATTGAAGGCCCTCAGGGAGGAGGTGTCCTGACATCAGGCCATCTCTGATGTTCGAATGTTCCTTCACAGGAGGCTGTTAGGAAGAGCTGAGGTCATCAGAGTAGCCTGCTTCTAGTCACACCTCTGTCCTTGGTTTTCATGTGACCTGGATTAGGCCACTCTCCCTTCACTGAGGATGTTGCATCTAGCTTATCTCAACCTTCCTTAAATGCTCTCCTCTGACTGTCCTCAGTCATTTCAGTATCCTTGAGAAGAGCCTGATTTTACAATCCCTTCTCCTCCCATACTCTTATCACCTCCACTCTGCCCCATTAGCTCCCACCCATGGTCACAACCTGTCCCTTTCTGTCAGCCCCAGTTTCAACCTGCACCCTCCTGTTTCCTGTCAGGGGTCTTACATTCCCATGGCACTGGTTTCCCCAATTCTTTACATTCTCTAATAACTTGATCCCCCTTTTCTCCCTGCTGCCAATTTGACCTCCCCTAACCCTCTTCTCTAGCACCCTCTGAAGTCTTACTGTTGAGCAGGTCAGGGGAAGAAATAGTATTTGTGGGCTTTTGGTAGAACTTTGAAAGAATTTGTGTGGTGAGCAAAGAACTTTTTGTCATAGGGTTTCTAATCCTCTGGCAGAATGTATTTGAGGACCTACTGGAGGAGCTTCAAAAAAATTCATGGGACGTGTATATTATAAAACAGCTATGCGTGGGTCTCAAGAATTTTTGTATTAATATAAACTCATACTCGAGTCCCGTTTTCCCACAAACTTTTGAAGTCCCCTCATATTGGTGTTAGGTGCTATGAGATACTTCAACATTGATCAGTGCTACTTGACTTTTTAGTAGTGTAGTCATTCATAATTATGTTAGGGTGAGAAGTTTATTTGTGATTGAGGAGCTTCTGCAGCAGTTTCCTAGTGCTCACCCAGGGAAGATGGGTTTTGGTCTAGCTGGTATAAAGACCATCAGCCTTGAAATGATGCTGTTTTGGGTAAGATCTCTGTGTAGTCATCTCTTACCTCTGGTTTAATGCTCTCTTCTTGTGATTTGGACTCTTAACTGCTGGTGAGTTGATTTCTGCTGTTGGCTGCTCTTTTTTTAGAGAGAGATTTTTTTTATAGGGCATGTACAATCGCCAGAGAGACAAAAAGCAAGAAATCACTCCCCAGGAGGGATGATGGCCACATTGCAGTCTCTTCTCCTCCATTCTCCTTTCAGGATTTTGGGCATGCACACACACACGTGCCCCGTCCAGAACTCAAACCACATTCAACTACATGGTAGTCCAGCAACATAATCATTACGCCATCTGCTGGTGCCTGGATGCTGCTCTTATTCTACAGGCATACCTCTGCAGGCTGAGGTCATGGTTGCCCTGAGGTGCCTAGCCGTTACCACGCTAATGCCAGCTCTCACCCCAGACCAATTAATTCCAGTGTTTGCATAATGGTTCAAACGAAGAAGAAGAAATATTTTTCCACTAAAAATGAAAAGCCTCCTGGGAACCAGCAGTTAGCGTAATGGCTATGTCGCTGAACTCCCACGTAGTCGACCGCGGTTCGCGTCTCGGACCCGGTGGCTTAAATCTCACGCCGGGCGCGTGTGCGTGTGTGCCCAAGATCCCGAGAGGAGAATGGAGGAGAAGGGATTGCGGTGTGACCATCCCCCCTGGGGGGTGATTTCTCGCTTTCTGTCTCTATGTCTCTCTGTCTGTCTGGCGAGCGCACGCGCCCTATAGTGAAAACCTCTCCAAAAAAAAAAAAAATGAAAAGCCTCCTTAGCCAGTTCCAGTGGTTATTCTAATATATGGTAAAGGGTAGATTTGAGAGAGCTTCTGATTCAGTGTCATGAAGACTTCCAGGCCAGGTCTTCTTACATCTTACCGCATCTACACGTCCTCTGGGGAGCTTGCTTAACTGCAGGTTCCAGATCAAGGGGTACAGAGTGGGGCCTGAGTTTGCATTTCCGAAGCACTCCCAGGCAGTGCGATGCTGCTGGTCCACACAGTGCGCTGAGGAGGTAGGACCTTTGTGTGTTTTAGATTACTCACATACCGTATGTATACTGAAAACAGAATCTGTCTAATTACATTTAAGACACCAAATAAATCCTTCTGGAAAACAGTCACTTCTAACTTTATTTTTGACATACATGTGGATTTTCATGTATTAAGTTTGCTTTTGTTAAAGTACACCTGTACCTTACCTGAAGAAACTGTAGCTATGAAAGCTTACCATTTTACTTATAACAGCTCTATAGCTGAGAGCAAGAGGCCTTTGATCAGAATGTTTTGAAGTGCAACTTCTTCTGGCTCCTATTCTCAGTTCGAAGGAATATTGCTTTGTTTTCTTCCCTTGACCCCCATAGCAACATTGGTCTATTTTTATATTTGGCATTGAAAAGACCAAAGTGCTACTGGAGTCAAATACCTTAAGAGCCTTAGAAACCATGCATGGTGGTGCTACACATTAGGACATAATCTCTCTGGGTGCTCTGCATAAGGTGCTGACACTGCCCTGTCTTTGGTATCTGGAGTTACACAACCTTGTCATTGACCACATTTCTGACTTGGGCAACATCATCTCTTTCATATGAAGCCAAGCCTGATTTTATTTTCTGCAACCCCTGACTATCAACATAAGAACTACCACTTTATTAAACATCTACATGTCAAACACTGTGCTAGACATATATGATGTCAGTGTGTTTTATCTTCATAACAATCCTATGAAGTTGGCATTAGTATCCTCTTTTTACCAGTGAAGAAACTGAGGCTCAGGAAGTATTGTTGCAAAACTCCAAAATGTCACAAATAAGACTTAAATAATGTGGGTCCTTCCAAGTCTGTAATCAACATTCTTTCCCGTATACCACACTACTGCCAATATTAGTAAAGGTTTTTTTGCATTAAAAGTGTACTATGTTGGGGTCAGCAGGTGGTATGGTGGTTAAGATAATGGACTTTCACATGGCTGACCACAGTTCAAGTCTCCAGCCTGGAAGCCTGCTCTCTCTTTTCCCCTCTCTCTTTCTCTCTCTTTGTGTCTCTCTCTGCTGAGTGCATATGCCCTACAACAAGTTTTAAAAAATGATAATAAAATTAATAATTCTTTTTAAAAAATTATTTATTTCCATTTGTTATTATTATTTTTAAATTTGATCAGACAGACAGATTGAGAGAAACAGAAAGTGAGTAAGCTAGTCACCAGGTTCAGGACTCAAACTATGGTCAGCCATATGGGAATACAGTGCCTTTAACCACCGTGCTACTTGCTGGCCCCAAATTAATAATTCCTAAAAACATAAATCAGCTATCTTTAACTAATTTAGTTATGCTTTAGCAATTTCCTTGAGCTTTTGTCAAAGACACCTATAGTTAATGCTGTGTCATAACTTTGTGGGAAAATGAGTTATTATTGTTTACACTCTGTAGAAAATAGTGGTTTATATGTCAAAACCTGACTTCAGTCAGAGGTAAATTGATACTAGTTCAGAAGCATGTGACTAGATACCTGGGCCAGCCATGGAAAGAATATCAGTTTCTTCTTGGAACTGGTGGCTGAACTAACAAAGAGCTACCTTGAGTT